AGAAAACTAACTAATTTACGTGCTGACTTCTGTTAACATGGATAAACCAACAAACAATTTAAAGTAAAATAAAATTAAATGAAAAAATTTTTTTGTCTCAGTTATTTTCACTTTTATGCTTAAAAAGACAAATTTTAAAACTGTGATTAAGCAAGTAAAGTTTGCTTTAGCAACTTTAAACTCTCAGGTTATTATAATTTGGTAATAACACAGGAGTTGAAGCAGCTTCATAAACTTCTTGTGTTTTTTACAAAATTTATTACAAATTGTTTTAAAAAAAAATGAAAATGTTTTTGGTGAGTGTCTAAAAAATACCTAATAAAATCTTTATTTTTAAAAATCTTGCCTCAGAGCTGCTTTATCTCCTTCACGTTACTGCTATTAATATGTTTAAAATCACAATTTTTAATCTTAAAGTAATTAAAATTTTATTTTTTTATTTTTTAAAGTAATTAAAAAAATTTTCAATCTTTATTTTTAAAAATTTTGCCTCAGAGCTGCTTAATCTCCTTCACATTACTACTATCAATATATCCAAAAAAAATCAAAAGGTATTTAGTTTATAAATTTGAAATAACTTATAACAGAAAACAAGCTAAAACTAACAAAAAAAAAACTTTAATATAACTTTAATATAATAATTAACACAGCTTCATAAGCTGGTACAGTTTCATTTTGATTTGCTTCATCCACAATCTTTTTCTAATGGCTATCAGTTTCTTTTTTTGCTCGATCGCTTCTTTAATGCCCTTTCTGTTCATTAATGCTTTTTTTTGATTATCTAATTTTAAAGCTTTATTTATAAAAAAATTATTAAAAAGTATATGAAGCTCAACAAATATTGGCTCCATTCCAATAACTCTATCATTAAGTTCAATAACAGCTGCAAACACATATAATTCTAGTACTTGCTTTGACAGAAACAAATTTTTAGGGCACTTTTTCCAAATAATATTATTCAATGACTTGTCTTTATTTTTAGCTTGCCTTTTAAGAAAACTTTGCTTTAGCAACTTTAGCAAATCTCAAGATATCTTGAGAGATCTTGAAGTATTTTTATCAGCCGAGATTTGAAAGACAATTTAACTTTTTTTTATATGTTGTTTCTTTTTATATGTTAATTTTATTGTAATTTTGTCATATTGCAAGGCACACCACCCATTTGTTGTGTAAGGACAGAATTGATGACAAGATACTTCATTTAAATATGTGAAACGAAACAGTCCATATAGCTTTTTTATGGCATAACATAATGAATATTTGTTATTGCAATTCCAAAATAATTTTGTAATGTGTAAGCTGCTTTAGTCGTAAAACTTCCTTTTCTTTCTATCATTTTCTAATCACAAAGAACTGTCCCTTTACATGCAACTTTTATAAGCGATTCATATAAAATATCGTTGATTGAATTTTATCGTTGAAGGGAAATACACGGTGGCATATTCATCAAGATACCAAACTTTTTAATTGACTTTCAACCTCGACCAAATTCTCAAAAAGTTGTTACAACTTGTATTTGTTGCAAAAGGATATTGCTTTACTTTCTTTATAACTTCACAAGTTTTTGGAGAATGAAATTGTTACCTTACACACCGTTTTTACATAACAGTTTTAGTTCACAGCAAAATCCATTACATTTATCAAGATTATTCTCAAGAATCAATTTAGAACCACACATAATCCATTTACCAACATCAAATTAGCATAAGTGCGCTGAATAAAGTTGCAAATATTAACATAAGTGCAAATTAACACTTAGCCTATGTTTGCAAATTTATTCGGCGCATTTATCCTCGTTTGCGTTTATGCCAGCTCGCACTTGTGCCAGTTTTTGAAACTACTTTGCACTTTTACCAATTTGCACTTGATTTTTGAAATTTGCACTTTGTTGTGCCATTTTTTGCAACTGCTCCGCACTTATGGCAGTTTGCACTCGTTCCAATGTTTGCAAATTTTATATATTTTTTAAACTCTAACTTTTAATGAGCACAGTTCAAAGTGCTCATCAAAATTTAGAGTTTAAAAAATTTTATAAGGACCAGAATAAGAAAGCAGAATTAAGTATTAACCAGTTTTTGAATGATGAAATTGATGTAGATGTTATTGATAAAACAAGCAAATCAGCCAATCAATTTATTAATATCAAATTTAATGATAAAAGACTCTTTCATTAATACAAATCACTTTCCTTTTCTTGCTCAAACAGTTTTGAGATATGGAACAAGTAACAGAGAAGCTGCTGCTTTTTCTTCTGCAGTTCTTGTAGATTTTAGAAAAGTTAATGAAAAAGGCAATAAACTGGTCATTGAACAGCATGAGGTTCATAGGGAAAAGAAAAAAGTAATGTAAAAATTTCAGAATGATGATTTACTGCTGTATCAGTCAGAAGATATAAAAACATTATTTTTTGACGGGAAAAAAAATTTAACTCTTGTTAATGAACAAGATGAAACAACATTAAAATATTATTCAAAAACAATAAAAATGAACTTCTATACTGTCACTGGTGAACTAGGAGAAAAATGATTATTCCATTTCTCTCCTCTTGAACCTGGCCTTGAAAAAAAACTGCATTAATGATAGCCGAACCTATAGCAGATTAGTGTAAAAAATTTGATATAGGTTTACTGTATATTGGAGCAAATTCTACAGCTACTAACACCGTTAGGTAAGATCGGTCTTTAAAAAGAAAAGAGGATCTTCTTAATAAAAAGTTAACCTGGAGTATATGTATGCTGCATACAAATGAGCTTCCTTTCAGACATCTTATTCAATATCTTGATGGAAAAACAACTTCCAACAATGGATTCAGTGGAGTTGTGGGTAAATTATTAAGTTGTGCTACATTACTTCCACTTGCTCAAACTTTCCCAATAATATCCATTGCCTAAAAGACCAATTAAAATAAATAAAGATGTGATTGATGACCTTCAACCAATCAGCTTTATGGATATAAAATGATTTTAGCTATACGTTCAGGTAACTTACCTATAGATCTTAAGAAGATGGAGTGTGGTCCTGTGAATCTCATAAGGTAGTTGACCACTGCAAATAGGCTGCTGCGAATCTAGGTCTCATTTCTTGGACTGTCTGGGCAAAACTTTAGTATTTTAAGTTGCATAGTTGAGTATGTTGTTGGAGCTTATTATTCAATATGGTTTGAATAATAATTTTCAACAACATACTTTTTATGTATGACCCCAAAAAACAATGCATATGATCTAATGTATTTATATTTTACTAATTGATGTAAATCATTTTTTTATTTTGAACTTTTATTATTTGAATATATGAGTAGACTTAAAGGTTACTAATATAAAATAAATTATTTGTAATCACAACAGCCAGGCTATAACTATTTTAAAATAAAAAGAAACAAGTTTTTATTTGGTTTTGCAGTACTACTTTTTATTAATAGTTTCAGTTATGAAGGTTAAAAGCAAAGGTTAAAATTTTGACATGTTTGATATTTTATACACTTGTCAAACAAGGATAGTTTTGAAAAATCAATTGTTATTCAGGCTGTCTCAAATTTTACAATAAGTTCTTCTCTGGTGACCGCCCCTCCTTCTTTAAAAACTCAAAAAATCCTAGTCAAATTTGATTTTTTTTTACCTCTTATTTTAAAATAGAATAATGTGCATCAACAAATTTCGAATTTTAACAAAAAAATATTGTGTTGAAAATTTAAGATATTTTATTGTTAATAATTTCCACTTTTACCCGATTTTGGTAATTTATTTTAAAGTTATGAAAATATATTTTTTCTAGTATATCTTAAAATCACTGGACATTTAAAAAAATATATTTAAACTTTCTATTTCAAAAAAATTACTACACCCTAAGCAATAATCTTTTCAGAAGTTGATGTCATATTAACTGCGTAACCATTTAACAAAACATAATCACAAAAGATAAAATATAAAAAAGTTTCATGTACTAAGACAATTTGAAATCCAGTTGCATCATGCTGTTTATAGAGTTTTTTTTAATGCACGTTGCTGTTTTGACTAATAATGCTTATTGGGCCAGTTATGTCCTATGGTATGTCATTAAAATTAATATTAAATAGTATTATCATTAAATGGTAAACGTGTGCACGTAAACAATAAGTATTCGCAGAAGAATCCATTTATAGATTTTGAAGTTAAAATTCAAATTTCCCTGGAATATTTTTAATGAATCAGGTACCAGTAGTTCATGTCCTTTCTAAAGGAGATATTGCAGTTAGTTTTATTTAAATCGATCATTTTTTCACCTTTTTTCGTCCATAACACTCAAATTATCATTTTATTTCGTCGAAATTAAATTCAAAAAAAGTCAACTTTTAAAAATATTTTAGGATCATCTTTTACAACAGAAAAACTTTGATCTATTTTTATCATATGCCAATATAAACTTGTACAACAGTAATAACTTTTGTAAAAAATACATTCAAATTTATGGAGCAGTATGTTAATACGAATTTTTTGTTTTTCCAAATAATAATGCCATTAATCTAGTGAGTAAAATTTTGTTAATTTAGTGAAAGTTATTATGAATTTAGTTAATATTTAGTTAAATTAACAATTAGATAAATTAATAATTATTTAGTTAAATTAATAAGCTTAACGCATTAAGTTATTTCGGCTAAATGCGTTAAGCTGAACAGGTTATTAACAAGACCTGATGTTGAAGAAAACAAAACTTTCCTCCTGATAAAGCCAAAGAGTTGATTAAAGACTGATGATATTCTATAAACAGTCACTTTTATGTGATAGGCTTGGTTCCAGCTTAATCCCGTCAAATTTGCGAATATGCCTGGTAACTGTTTGTAATTACAGATGGCTCATTTATTACAAAGAAATCTTAGTACTTTTTATGCGTTTTCGTTTTCATTGTAAAATTGAAAATTATATTGCATGGTTTATTTTGGACTTTTTTTAAAACTATTTTATTTAAGATTCAGTTATTTTATTAAGTTTTTGCGTCATAAGTATTTTAGTTGTAATTTACTAAAGGCGTAATATCTTCATGGGGAGCATGGGGACAATGTTCAGAAACTTGTCAGCTAACATCAACATTACCTACTCAACAACGATCTCGTGTTTGTGAGGGAGCTACACTTGGAGGGAACTGTAATGGAGAAGCTACTATAGATTTACAGACATGCAGCAATGGAATTTATTGTCCAGGTATTTTTATTACAATTTTAGATCAAACACTTTTCGATCACTTTTTTACGTTTTTTAGAGCTAATTTTTAGGATTTTTATCAATATAATACAATGCTTATAATTAGGAAAAATATCAGAATGGAGTTTGTGGGGTGCATGCTCTGATGTTTGTAATAATCTTGTTAAAATACCCTATCAAGCTAGAAGTCGGTTGTGTATTGGATACTCATCATGGGATCCCTATTATATGGGTTGTCCTGGTATTTCAAAAACTGAGCAACAACCTTGCAATAGATTGGTTGGTTGTTTAGGTAATGATCATGGCAAAATTTGAGATTTTAATACTTATAACTTATTTAGGTGCTATTCTTAAATAAAAAAAAGTCATTTTTTTTACTTAAAACAGGTACTTATGGTACTTGGAGTGCCTGGAGTGATTGCTCAGAAACCTGCCAGTCTAATATTACTGTGCCTCCATTTCGAACTCAAACTAGACAGTGTTTTAATAGTACATTGGGAGCTGGTTGTTCTGGACCAAGTTTTCTAACTGAGTCATGCAATATTGGAGTTTCCTGTCCAGGTAAAAATAACCTTTTTATATGATTACTAATTAGTTTTTTGTTTACTAAATCATTAAAGTGTATATTGCACAAACATTATTTATAACTGTGTTTGTCTTTTTATTTGTTTAGTATAACATTATGATTGCAATATATAACTAAAATTATAATAAAAGTATATAAAAAATTGATATTAATTATAAAATAAATTGTATAATATTTGTTTATTTTTATTTAATGAAAATATTATTTGCTATTTATATTATAAAAAGGCAATTTTAATTGTTCCTAAAGGAAATGAGAAAATTGTAGTGCAATAAAACTTTTGAAGTAATCTTTCTTGTATGATTTAATATTAGATAGAAACATACCTGGTGGTACAGTCATAATAAAAATAGTCCTTTATAACCTTAAAAAAAGGTTAGCACTGAAAAGGCCATCCAGTCAATAAAATTTGCAAACTACTGTGTTAAATTTATGTTATTTAAATTATAGCTAACTTGTACATTTTTTTAGTAAATATTTTATTTGTGTTTTACTTAAGGCACAATATCATTGTGGGGATCATGGGGACAATGTTCAGCTACCTGTCAGCTAACTTCAACATTACCAACTCAACAACGATCTCGTGTTTGTATGGGAGCATCACTTGGCGGAGATTGTAATGGGCAAACTACTATAGGTTTACAAACATGTAGCGTTGGAGTTATTTGTCCAGGTAAGTTTATTAAATGTTTAATTTGCTATTACCGTACCTTTACGTATTTTTATTTTTATGACCTAATTTTATAGTATTTTTGTAATTTACTGCTCTGTTTTCAAAAGGAACAATATCAGATTGGAGTTTTTGGAGTGCATGCTCTTATGTTTGTAATAATCTTGTTACACCACCCTATCAAACTAGGAGTCGATCATGTATTAGTTATTCATCATGGGATTCTAACTATTTGGGTTGCCCTGGTGTTTTAAAAAATGAGCAACAGCCTTGCAATACATTAATTGGTTGTTTAGGTAAAAGTTGTTTTGAAACAAGATTTTCCATAATAATTTTTTTCATGCTATTTTTGAACTAAATTTGGTTTTATTTAAAACAGGTACTTACGGTGCTTGGAGCCCATGGAGTGGGTGCTCAGAATCCTGCCAGTCCAATTCTAATATTCCTCCCATTCAAACTCAAACTAGGCAGTGTGTTGGTAGTACGTTGGGAGCTGGTTGTTCTGGACCTAGTTCCCAAACTTTATCATGTAATGTAGGCATTCCTTGTCCAGGTAGCATATACTTACGTTTTCAAATTTTGTTTGTTCTTATTAACCAACGTGTGTTATTTATTTATTTTTTTAATTTTGTATCAATAGCACTGCAACAGGGTATTTTATTGTATTAAAGAAGTCTAGGATATCATATCGTTAAAGTTAATAGTTTATAGTCTATTGTAAATTGTTGTTTTTGACTTTGAAAAAATTGAATGTCTAAAAGTCAAAGCTAGTAAACTTAGAAAAATTGAATAATCTATATAATTGATTATGGTTTTTTAGCTGTTACATATACCTAGATTTTTGTTTACTCTCTTAAAGTTCAAACTACTTATAGCATTTTATAATATCATAGCTTTATTTATACGCAAATAAACTTTAATTTATATGTTTGTTTGTTTTTTTGTTTGTTTGTTTTTTTTACTATTTGCTTGTAACTTTCATAAATACCTTTATTCAAGACCATTCCAAACTACTTTGAGGCCCTGAGGCAAAAATAAGTTATGAAGTTCTAAAATCTATATCATTATATTAAAATGTGTTTGTATAGACTTTTTTATATTAAGGAAGTATTAAACGGGTTTCTTTAATCATTAGGGCATGGAGAAAAACTATCCAAATATCTGAGCAATCTGCTTCATATTACTTTGCTTTATTATTATTTAATATAATATTTAAAAATGTATGATATGATACTGAATTAAAAAAATTACTTTATTGTTTTTATTACATTTTAAACTTTATTTTGTTATTATTTAATATTTTTTTCCTAAGAAAATGTATAACTTGATTTAGTCTACAGACAACAAATTATTTAAAAGTTGTAATAACACTACTATTGTATCTTTAAAAAAAAAATCAAGCGTCTAAATAATCAAGGTTTTTCTAATGCTACTAATATCTATATTTCAAAGGATTTTTGTTTAGATTTTAAATCAACTTGTCAAGAAAAAAGTGCTCATTTTTTTATCATTATATTTTTATTCTTCAGGTATTTTAGGCGATTGGACAACCTGGGGAGCCTGCTCAGCTTCTTGTCAACTGGACTTTAGTGTTCCAAAACAAACCAGCACTCGCACTTGTTCTGTTGCTTCTTTAGGTGGTAATTGTAATGGTGCAACTCTAATTCAATCTAAAAACTGTAATGCAAACGTTTATTGTCCAGGTAATATTATTAAAAAACTCGAGTTTTTTTAATTTGTTTGTCTATTACAAGTAAAGTATAACAATCCTAAAATACAAAATATGAAGGACCATAAGAGGTTAAAATGTTAGACTTTACTTTTGAATGATGTGTTATTAGTTATAAGAACATACTTTTTATAAAATTCAACAATATTTGTGGCGAAGAAAAATATTATGAATTTGTAAAGTGAACTTCTAGCGGTGCAATTGTTTGAATTCATATTAAAGGTGTTTAATATAGCAAAAAATGTTTTAGCTTTCAATATATTATAATTAAATAAATATACCCCTATAAATTCAAACACTTATAAAAATTTAAATATAAAGTATTATAATATTAGCTTTATATAAGTTTTTATAATTACAAATAAAAACATGAAATTTTATGATTTCAAAAAAACTTTCAAGTGGCATATAAATAGTCTTTATATATGAGCCTAATTTACTTAGTTAAAAAATTAAACTTTTAAGTTTTCTAATTTTTATGTTTTCTTGGTACTAAATTTGTAAGGAAAAAGGTGAAGACAACTATTATAGAAAAATTTTGATTTTTTCCAAGCAACCTAAAGATTTGTAGTTATAAAAATTGATTAAATTTTTATTGTTAAATATTATTTTTACAAGTATATTACTCGAGTATTAGGCTTTCTGTTTTATATTTTAATTTATTTTTATGTTATTATTAAAAAAATTGAGAATTTGCTATAGTCTTCATAAAATAGCTGATTGCCTGATCAAGCTATGCTTAAATGATCATGTTTGCATTCATTTTCTTATTTATACCTATATGAGGTTCTAAAGGCACAGTGGTTTGGAACAAATCTGACTAAAGGCATACAAAGACAAGTATAATAAACAAATATATATCAGTGCTGGTTTAACCACTGGACAAACTGGACACGTGCCAGGTGTCCACGGAGTTCATGGGACCAGAGCATTTAAGTGAATATTTGAGAGAGATAATTTTAAAAGAAAAATTATTATCGGCCTCTATCCTTGACTTCCTCTCATGTTCCAGAGATTTTTAATCTTTCCATTACAGCGCATACGACGTATTGCAAACTGGAGGTTTTATTTTTTTAACGACTGGAAAGGACTTTTGAGTTCAAACATAAAAGTGCAAAAAGAAATATAAAACACTTGGCTACTTTATTCATTTTCATAGGATTATCATTCCGCGGAATGGATGAAAATCTAGAATTGATACGCAACGGAAACTTTATTGGATGTATTGAGCTATTAGTAAAATTTGCGCTTTTTTTCGCCCAATACTTGATAACTTATGGAAACAAAGGAAAGGGTTGTACCTCGTACTTATTTAAAGGCATTAGCAAAGAACTCATACACCAAATAGCCGCCGATGTTATGGAATTTATAGGGAATTTGATCATCCTTAAGTAATGTTCATTGTTGATTCTACTCCCAATACAAAACGGAAAACCAGTTGAGCGGCTCTTAGCATTTATTCCCATGCATAATCATTTTGCAACTTCCATGCTTGAAATTGTTGAAAAGATTAGATTAATATTCAATCAACATTCAAAATGGCTGTAGCCAGTCATACGACAATGCTAGTAAAAAGTCTGGTATCTTCTTTGGTTTACAAGCAAGAATTATAAAAGATCAACGTTATAGACTCGTTGAATAGATTCCGTGTGTTGCTAAATATTTGAACCTTGTAGGAGTGAGTGCCACAACATCTAACAGTGCTACTGCTAATTTCTTTAGCTTTCTTCAAAAAATGTATAGCTTTTTCCTTCATCAACGCATCGATGTCTTAAAGCCAAAGTTCTTTGCATTAACGCATCAACCCATCTTAAAGTCAAAGTTCCTTGCTGGAATACGTTTTTAGGTTCCCTAGACTCTCTAACAAATTTGTTGGTCAGCTTGTGCTGATGCTTATTAAGCAATTAAAAAGGGTTGTTCTATTTACTAGGTGATTAAGAATAATTTAGGAAATTGAAGAAAAACATTTATTCTTCAATTTCCTAAATTATTCATCTATTCTCCACAGAGTTGTAAAGTTGAAGAACTTTACAACTCTGTGGAGAATTACGTGCAGCAAGTTCGCTCTAATTTCGAGCAATTAAAAAGGCTAGCCGTGTCTTTGGTCAACACGGTTGAATAGATCTATATTCAAAGGCTCCCAAGAGTACACAAAATGCATTACAATGATGAAAACACTGGGGAAACTATAGTGTTTTCTGGGCAATTTTAAATGATTGCCGACGTTAATAAGATCACGGACAAACTAATGAGTGATATAGATTAAAAAAAAAATCTGTTCTGATTTGAACTCTCTGTTTGGTTTTTTTGCGAATCTCCGCAGCATGGATGTCTTGAAGATTACTTGCAGTGCAAAACAACTTGTTGACCGGTATCCTACTGATCTTAACTTTCAGTTGTTGAACGAATGAATTCTTTTTAGAGCTTTTTTCATGAACTTCTTTTAAATTTTTCTTTCGTTCATATAGAAAACCGTGTATTAGACTCCATTCTACCTAAAATCAGCATCTACAAGCATAAAATGCAAAAGAAAGACTTTTTAAAACATAAGCTAGTTGCAACGTGTTTTTACTAATAAATAACGCGAGAATATTATTTAAATACAAAAGAAAATATATCATAATGTCATAGCGCAACAATTACAAATATTTTTTACTTTAAACTGCTGTTAAATTTGAATGCTAGTAGGCCAACAGAGGCCAGGAGGCCTAAAGTTTCGGGAGCCCACGAAATACTTAACCCGGCCCTGTATAATATACAAATGTATAAACTGCATAGTTTTAGCTATATATAAACAAAGTTATAGTTATGTAGGTGTAGTTAGTTTTGTATTTTAACTTTATAACCTAAAATTGACTAAATATCAACAAAATAAATGGACTTTTAATTGGCAGTAAACAATTGGTTGTGATAACTTTCTGCTGTCAAAGAGAGTTGTACCTAGAAAGATGCGTATTTTATTTCATTGCGCATTCATTTCTTTGTTAGATAAAATATAATTTGCGAAAATAAATGATACATAGTTGTTTATTGTTTTTTGCAAGAATAGTATGTAGCTATTGGTCTAGTATATTTTTAGTAAGTGTGCTATTCTTAGTTTCACAGTACGATGTCTTTGCATGATTTTTTGTTAAACCATTTTTTGAGCAATATAGGAAACCTGTTAATTTCTTTTTATTTATTGAAAATACCTTTTGTAGACTACAACAGTGTAATGCACAATGTATGATAACATAGTTACAGTATATGTGTGTATTTGCGTTTTAATACAAAGTAGTGTATGTAAATAGTAAAATAATACATCAGCTTAAGGCCTAATAGTATATTTAAATGAGCACAAGTCTTTCTGTGTTGCACTTTTAAGGTTGTATGTTTTGATCTCAGTCTTGTAAAATTTTAAAAGCTTTGGTCATGTTTATAGTTTAGAAATGTTAATTTTTGGTTTTGGTCTTAACCTAAAATATCTTGGTCTTATTCATTTTGTTGGATTTTAATGTCTTGATTTTATCTCTGTGTGTTTAACTATTTTTAATATGGTTTATATAACTATAGTGTTTTTTTATTTAAATATGTTTGTTGTTTTTTTTCAGTAAAATTTCTGTTTTCTTATTATGACTTATATATATATATATATATATATATATATATATATATATATATATATATATATATATATATATATATATATATATATATATATATATATATATATATATATATATATATATATATATATATATATATTTAAACATAAAAATAAAAAGAGTGATTTGGCTATATATAGCGATTGAATAATATCTGCTTACTTTTTATTTAAACATTTGGTTATATAGGAACATTAAGTGGGTGGAGTTCATGGGGTTTATGTTCTGCATCATGTAAAAGTCAAACCGATGGACCGTATCAGTATAGAAGCCAATCTTGCGTTGGTGCTTCTACTTGGAATCCAAATTATGAAGGTTGTAATAATGCTAGTTTAAATGAATACCGACTTTGCAATCAAAATGTTCCGTGTCCAGGTAGCATTATTTTTTTGTTGTTTGAAACATTTTTATTTGAACAATTTTAGATTACTACAATTTCAGGGTATTTAGGTTTTCTTGTTATTTTTTATATGAGTTTCTGTGTAATTTTTTTAAATTTTTTAAATCATTTAAAAATATTCTCACTAATTTTAGGTGTTTATTCTGTTTGGTCAGAATGGAGTACTTGTTCTGAATCATGTCAATTAAGTATTGAAATGCCTCCATTTCAATTTCGCTCAAGAAATTGCGAAAAATTTACATCAGGTGGTGTTTGTGTTGGCGTTTCTTCTGAAACTCGAAGTTGCAATTTACAAGTATCATGTCCAGGTGTTATTTTTTTACTTTTTGATGATAATGGCAAAGATATTTACTCATGCTTTTTTCAGTAATGAACTTAATTTATTAAGTTTTAGGCTAGTAAGTTATTAGGAAAATATTTTCAGGTCAATTGACTAATTGGACACCATGGAGTCAATGTCCAGCCACATGTCAAACAACAAATGGTCAATATAACATGCGGTACAGAAAAAGAGAATGTCTTAATACATCTTTCAATGGAAATTGTGAGGGTGCTATAACAATAGAAGAAATACCATGTGCTATAATCTTCCCTTGTTTCGGTAAAAAAAAATTCTAAAGTATAATTTTTACATAAATAAATTTTGAATGTTTTTTAATTTTTGCTAAATGTAAGGAAATAACTATTTAACCTTAATAGATAGTTTTAGTAAAAAGAAATAATAGGAATTATTTGAGTATCAGTAAATAACTTTAGGTACAGTAAAGTTTTATCATTATATTTATAAAAAGCATTTTATCTATTGCAAGCAACAATATTTAGTGTGAAAGAGTGAGTTAGCTAGAGTAACTTTAAAACTGCAAAAAGAGTAACTTCAAAACTGCTTATGTAACTTTAGAACTGCAATTTTATTTTGCCATTTTGTTTCAGTTTTAAATATAACTTTTGTTTAATTTGTTTGGCTCACTTATTTTAAATGAGTTGGTAATTTTCTGCAAATCAAAACTATCTGGTTATAAATACCACATCAGGCAACTATATTGTTAAAGAAATAATACTCTTCAGCACACTTTATTGTTTTTTCTTTGCAATAATGTAAATATTTTTCAGCTCAAAGAAAAATCTTATTCAAATCTTTGTACTAGAATAATTTCTAAATTAGGTCTCTTTCTTTGCATCTAATTTCTAGTAATGTGCATTTATTGGCACAACACAGATTAGAGTAAATAAGGTTATGAAGATTATGATATTTTTTTTATAACACGTTTTGATATTTTTTTTAACATTTTAAAATCTTTATGTGTCTATGTTGACGCTATGTACTCTAAATGCTGGTTTAAAACTAATTAAATGCCAAGAATTCTCAACAACACATTTGTATACTAGATACAAATGTGTTGTTGAGAATTCTTGGCATTTAATTAGTTTCAAATGATGCTTTTTTGACTTAATTGTAGACTTTAAGATCAGATCATAATACTTTAATTAAATCTTATTCAGTTGATGTTACCCCAAAAATATTTTCTGGTGTGCTTTAAGAATATTCATTTCAAGGATTGGTAGAGCAGAATTATCATATATAAATTAGTATACATTTGCTTTCATTAAGTTACATTTGCCACATTTTTGTTCGTTCTGTGACCTAATTGGTATCACTATGGGAGTCCTTTTATTTTGCTTTCAATTATACCATCTTTTTTCATTTTGAAAGCATTTTGGAAAAAGGCAAATCATTAACATAAATGATAAATAGAGTTAGTCGCAAAACAAAAGTCTGAGTAATATCACCCAGATAGCACACAGACATTGGCCCAACGTCGGATCAACGTCGAAAAATTCTTGGCTGATGGTCGGCAACTGACATCGCCACAACGTGGATTCGGAAATCAGCGCGAAGTCGCAGCCAACCGTTGGGCTGACGTTGGCGCAACGTCGACTTTAAACGTCGGTCGAGCGTCGCATTTTAGCGTTGGTCCAACGTAATATTATTATATTAAAGAATCTTTAAAATTTTTATTCAAAAGTTAAGCACATGCTTACTATTTCTTACGTAGTGTTCATTAATACTATTACATTGATTTTTTTTCTTCCAAATAAGTTTGAATATAAATCTTTTTTGTTATAAACGAAAATCGGTTTTTATGCTGAGTAATAAAGCAATTTGAAACAACTTTATAATAACACAGAAAATCAAAATTTGTTGTAATAATCATTATATTGACCTTAAAATATTTTTACAAATATATATATATATATATATATATATATATATATATATATATATATATATATATATATATATAACAAATATTAAAAATAGTACCAGTAAGTTTATTTTGTATTCCTAATAAATTATATTTCTTGTAACAATTATTAAAATTGTTTTAAAATACTCGTATAAACTATATATAAAAGTTAATATAAACGTATAAAAGTTATAATATTATTAAACATATATAAAAAAATGTACAAAAAGAATTAGAAAAAAAGATTAACACAAATTTTGCAAAAAATCATAATATACTTGTTTGCTAAGTGTATGTATGTATGTATGATACCTAAAATTCAAAATAACTTTGTATAAAAAAACATCAGTTATCAATACCATAATGATCTCAATATGAAGAAGGGGTTCATTTTTTACCATGACTTTATAATTTCTTCAATAATTGCAATATTTGCTTCTTATTCAATTGCACAGCAGCTGTTTAAAACAAGTTAAATAATATGTACACAAACATACGTTTATCAAAGAATATATAAGTCATGGTCTATATACTAATTTTAATTCAAATATGAATTCATAACAACAAAATTCTCTAGTAAAAAAAGGGCGCTAAAATAAAATACAGCTGCATTTAAAAATGGCCGAGTATTATTTTAACCCTAAAACCTGTTACGCTCTACACGCATTTTTAAATCAGTTGTATTCCGACGTTGGCCCAACATTGGATCGACGTTAGCGCGTAAATTAAATAACTGCCCAACGCCTTTGACGTTGTTCCGACGTTGACCAACATAATGCCTGCTAGTTGTTGCATTTATGTCAGAAATTCAATCAGACAGTTTATCCCAAAATAATGCGTTTGTAACCGTTTAAATGAAAAATGTTAATCTAACATGAAAGTTTATTAATAATTTCACATTTTTCTAGTTTAAATATTAAAGATTTAAACAAAACATTATTGAAAGATTTAAATATAGACAAAGCTCTATTTTTAAATTTTATGTAATTTTACCCATAGAAAAATCATCGTTTCCAATAATGTTAGGTTAGTTATAATTACCTGTGACTAATAGTCTCGAAAACAGTTTACTAATAATAAATTCCTTGCTAAAGTTAAACAATTGTTATTTTTATTAACATTTTTCTTTATCATTTTTGGTGAAGAATATATAAATCCATGGCCTACTTAAATTACACGGCCTGGTGTGTTGCATTTTCCGTAAAAAATTAAGGGACAAGTTTTTTCACGTCTTATGTATTAAAGCTTGAGTTCTTGTTATGGTTTAGAGTTGTGCTTGCACGACTTTTAACCATAACAAGAGTTATGTTTGAGTACTTAAATTATTTTGTGCTCGATTTTTTGCTTACTAATTACATGCTTTAGTTTATTCCAAAAACACAGAATAATGAAACAGGTTTTCAGATATTTATCAACATGCTACTAAAAATAAAATTACATATGGCTAAAACTGGCTAAAACTTTCCGTTAAAAGTGAAGAGTTTGTAGTTTTATATTTATTATAATTGAAATTAAATAAAAAAATACCTTTTTACTAGATATATTTATTTTGTCTTTGTCTTTATTTGAAATTTTTCACTTGATCTTACCTTACTGAACATGTAACAAATTTTTGCAACAATAGAGAATTTATATTTGATTCCCCGCTTTTTTGTGATTTTCATTTATAAAATTAATACTGTTTTAAAAAATAAATTTAATTTAAAAAAAATTTGAATGACTGTTATGTTTAATTAGAATATGAAAAATAACATATAAAATACTAAAAAAATGACATATAAAATTAAATAGAGGTGCAATTGGATAAATAAATTCTCCTCTGCAGAAAATAACATTTGTCATTAACGTACTAAAGGAATCTTTTTTTAACTTTTTACCAATGTAACTTGCTGTTGCATATATCTATGCTACCTTCAGAAAGCTGACACTAGTATTTGTGCAGACAACTAAGCAATATCTTGCATAATATTTTTAACCATTATCAAATGTGTGATAAAAATTTTCATAAAATATTATGGACTAGACTTCTGCAAAAATCTTTTTACTATTATATATTTCTAAAAGACTCACAAAAAATCTTCCACTGGTCATTTAACTATACTTAATAAAATCAAACTAAAAAAATATCACTTTGTAAAATTGAATTAAGAAAAAAGTGTAGCCTTGAAAGGTTTAACAAAGTTAAAAAGATACTGCAGCTCGTAAAGCTTGATTAAGGCATAGTTAAAGAACAATACAACTCCCTAGAGTATTACGTGCAGCAAGTTCGCTCCAATATCAAGCAATATGAAAAAGTACCTAATTTATTTACCAAAATGACATCATCTTCAACCTGTTTTTGTTTTCACATCTCCCAGGTCTTCGTAACTGGACGGCTCCGTTAGTCACTTTTTGCGAGCATATGCAAAAAAATTTATTCTCTGTGGCTGGTGAGCCCCGATTTTTTCTAATGTACACCACAACGACAAAACGGACATTAGGCTATCCCGCTGGATGCGGTTACGGCGCTCAATAACCTAATCTAGTCATTAGGTTGCTGACACTCACGCACATGTTCAGTCAGAAGCTCCATAATGCACGTCGGATCAGCGCTCGCTGACTATGTGCTCGGATCTGAAATCTCACTTCATAGCACATCTTTCCACACCAGCACGGGGCAGTAGCTCTTTTGGTTAAGAGTGATGGCTTCTGGCCTACGGTGACTAATGTTTGCATTCGATCAATTGAAATCCATTCTGTAGGTCTCACGTCTGGCTCTGATGTGCTAGCCCATGAGCGCAAGAAGTGAGTGTGTTTAGCTTTCTATTCATCCGATTTGAAAGTAAACGGAAACATAACGAGACCATACTAGACGACAAACGGTACGTACTAATGCACAACACCATCACACCTGTAGACATCAACAGTCTTCCAAATCAGTATATCAAATATTTGTTCTTTGTTACACATGATCTACATACAGAGTGATTAGAGTGTTCTCTCCCTGCCCTCCGACCATTTACTTCGTTCTTTACCTTCACAAAAGTCTTATCACTAATTTTATATTTTCTTATGATTTTTATTTTGTATTCAATGACACCATCTTCTAACTGTTTTTATTATCACATCTCTCAGGTTTACGAAACTGGACGGCTCCGTTGGTCACTTGTTGCGATCATTGTGTCGCATAAACAAAAAATATTATGGACTAGACTTCTGAAAAAAATTTTTTACTATTATATATTTCTAAAAGACTCTCAAAAACTCTTCCACTGGTCATTTAACTATACTTACTAAAACCAAACTAAAAAAAAATCACTTTGTAAACTTGAAGAAGAAAAATGTGTAGCCTTGAAAGGTTCAACAAAGTTGATAA